TTTCAGGTACCTAAGTTGGTCTTTAAGAGCTAAAACAGAAAGCAGCATCTTTGAAGAACAGCCCAATATCCTTCCTTATGTATCTTATTCAACTTTGGTAGTTTAGTTTGACTACCAAAGACAGACATGTGGTAAACAGGAGTTTACTGATAATTTATGCCTTTTTAGCTAATTCACCCTTAAAATGACTGACATACTGCAGTGATTCAGGCTCCTTAAAATGTCACTGGGACACTCCCTTGACAGGACAGATATAAATCTCCACAGATCTTTGGTTGAGACAGAACTAATTTCTTTCCTAGTAGCTGGTATAGTGCTGTGTTTTGGGTTTAGGATAAGAATAATGTTGGTAAAACAGTGATGCTTTAGTTGTTGCTAAGCAATGTTTACATGAACTCAAGGACTCTTCAGCTTCTCACCCCACCCCACCAGTGAGTAGTCTGGGGGTGCACAAGAAGCTGAGAGGGGAAACAGCCTGGGCAGCTGACCCCAGCTGACTGAAGGGATATTCCAGACCATATGGCGTCACGCTCAGCATGTGAACTAGGGGGAAAGCTGGCTGGGGGCTGCTGCTCAGGAACCAGCTGGGCATCGGTTAGCGGGAGGTGAGCAACTGCATTGTGCATCACTTGTTTTGTATATTCTAATTATTTTATCATTATTATTTATGTTCCTTTCCTTTCTGTCCTAGTAAATTGTCTTTATATCTCAACCCATTAATTTTACTTTTTTTCCCCCCAGTTCTCTCCCCAATACCACTGGGCAGGTGGAGTGAGCAAGTGGCTGTGTGGTGTTTAGCTGCCTGCCAGGATAAGTTGAATCTAATTTTTAGGCTTCATTACAGCTTGGTGAGGTAAGTCTAGCATTCACTACTTGTTTAGCTATTTGCTAGCATCGCTATATCATTCTACAGCCATGTATGGGGTAAGTTTTTAGACCTTACTCATGTAGTATTTATCACTGGATTGCTTATGTCCTACTACAAGGAGTTAAGTTCTCATTGCTCTTATAAATATTTGCATATTACAGACCCTAAGTAACTCTTAGGTACAAGTGAGTTCCCAAGTCTTTGTGGGAAGGAGAGTGTGGTGTTCTTCACAAAGCACGATCTGTGCTTTTACTCTGATCTTTCTGGTAAGGAACCAGCCTAAGACCTGAAAGCCTGGTGCTGCTCTGCTTTAGCCCTGCTTCTAGCTGCTTGTGTACTTCAAGCATATGCCAAGAGAGTCTGTTGTGTTGGGCGAACAACTGTAACAGTTGCTTTAAGAGTATGAGGATAGGAGATCCATATATAGAAAAATGTTGAGTGAAATCTACTTCTCAGTAGTTTTGGCAATACGTATTATACAATACTTCAATAAATCCTACTTTATAGCCAGTATTTTACATGGTATTATATGTATTATACAGGTAATAGAATACAAGGTCTTTTTTACTTCTTTACTATTGCATAGTCTTAAGAAAAGTTAGAGCAAATAGGCATTTTGGGTTTCTAGTGCAGGAGAACTGAACACAGCTCACATAGTATCTACAACAGATGGCATTTCCTATCTGTTTCCTCCGTATTTGGCCACCCAGTCTGTTCTTCCATGTACTGGCTGAATTGTTGGTGGGCGACTTAAAATATTCATGTTTTTTGGTGCTGAATTGAAAGTAGGACCTGGTAACTGAGAATGAGCAGCTTTGGTTTTCCAAGAGTAATCTGAAAGAAACAAGAACTCAGAATTAATTATGACTCAAAAGGTGTTTCAATCCTTTACAGATAAAAAAATGAGACCTTAAAAATGACTTGTAGTACTCAAGGATGCTAACATAGCGGGATGCTTTGGTCTCTGATATGCTGTCTATGCTTGTTTTCAGATAAGGTTAATGCTTCCTATAGTTTGTGTATCTCATTAGTAATTCTCATACACTGGATACTTGTTTTGCAGCAATCCTTTGAGAAAATACTGAGACTGAAATTCAGTGGAAAAAGTGATGTGTATGTCTACAACTCTATCTCCCATTACAAAACTGCTACAGAATGGGAATCTTCTTTCCTCTATCTCACATATTTAAAAAAGCATCTAATTATAACATTGATAAACTTAAGAACCAAACAGCCTAGACTGCCTTTTATTCCCCTCCTGCTTCGCTGAGAACTCCTGGTGGTGAGTCTTCTTCATCTCCATTTCCCGTTTTGCTATTTATTTGGTAGGATCTGTTCCAAAGTCCGCAGATTTTTTTGTCGCTTAATATTGGCATCCATCTGCTCTTGGGCACTGGGAGGTGTGCACTACTGTATTCCCTGCCTCAGATTTCCCCTTTCTGCATTTCAGATAGTCACCACTTCCTCAAAATTCATGGAATTAAAGTAATTGCCCTGCTGCAGTGGCTGAGAGCTCATGGTTTGCTTCATGTTCATCACCAATTCTGCCCTCTTCCCCATCATTTTAAAGTCAGTCATTTGTGACCTCTCTTATCCATCCGGATTCCTGCTATACCTTGCCGTTGTTTCCTTATCATTCCCAAAGTCTATCCTGCCTCCTCCATTCCTACTTTTGTAGTTTAGTCTTCTTTTATTAGGCATTATTGATAACTGTTAAATTAAAAAAAATGTATGAGTGATTTTTGTGTGTGTGTGCCTATGTGTCATTCTGTTTCTTATGGCAAACCACCTATATTTGGTGGTATTTTTCAACAGTGAGTTGAACCTGTTAAGGAACAGGTGAGAATCAAGATATTTAAAAAGGAGGAATCACAAGGAACTGAAACTGGGGGTCAGGTCTCCACCTCTTTGAAAACTAATACTGTTCCTTTTTATCATAGGCTGGCATTCCCTGTCTTTCATCAGCAAGTACAATTCCAGCCTACCTTCTCTTTCTTGGCAATGAAGGTCACTATTCTCAGGTCTTGGCATTTTCCTCAGAGAAACTGATCTTTTTACTACATTAAATTATTTAAATTATGGCATTAAAAAACTTAACAGAACAAATGAAGAGAGCATAACCAGTTGAAGGCCTAACTCATTTCAGTTTGGGTAATACAAAGCAAAGGGTCACCAAAAATGTTAATGTTCAAATATTGACAGATATGAGATAAAACCTGCCATTTGCTTCATCCTTATCTCTCTTCCCATGCAAGTCTGCAGAGTTTAGGCTAAATATGAGGGGTTTAAGCAATAGGATTCTTGCTCTTCTCCAGGACATGGAAGAGTCTCTTAATTGACCTCCATCTGCCAGCCTTTCTGACTTTTACTACACGTTTTCCATTTCTAATTACAGATTAACAGTGAATTTATTTCCCTTTGGATCACCATATGCAATTCCTTTTCATTCTCACTACTCACAGCAGTCTAGAGATAGTTGCAGATTTTGTCGTCCTGTGAACTTCTTGATCCACACACTGTGACAAATCAAAACTCTCGCTGTTGTGTTTCAGTAATGAGTTGATAAGATAATAAAGTCCAGCTTCAGCCTTCCCTGGTGAGCTTCTGATCAACTCAAGACTCAGAATATGCATACATTTAAGCATATGCTTTATATATGCGTGCCATCTCCTCCCTTCCCTCTCTCCCTTGCAAGTTCCTGAGGGGAGTAGGTAACTCAAAAGAGCAAGTCAGCAAAAAGACAACATTATCAAGCAGGACCATATCAGACTGGTCTGCCATCGGCCCTTTAGGTAAATAATTAATGATTAGGGCCTTGCTGTTTCCTTTGAAGTAACTAGAGAAGCGTGCCGTTGGGTTTGGACAGTGGCTCTAAATCTTCACTCAAACCAGTTTCTCCTGCATCCTGAGCACTTTGTTCATCTTTTCTGAATCAGGAACCTACCAACAAAGGTGGTGCTCAGAACGTCATCCACACCATAGAGGATCCAAGGTAACAGTTACATTCAGAAAACATTTCACGTTTTTAACTGATGAATGGAACAGCCTTTTAATGTGTTTGTTAATATAATGTACAGTTATGTCATTACTGTTTCATAACTATTAAGAACTGGTCATTTGCATTCTTGTTTGGCTTTTACCTTCTATAATGTAGCAACATCGAAAGTTTCACTTCACAAAGCACACTTGTGATATTTCATGAGTACAAGAGTAGTGTCATCTCAGTATCCACAGACTTACATAGCCAACAAGTGAGATGAAGACACAGTGAAAAACTGTCATACATGACCACCGCAGAAACCACAGGCCAACTAGATAGGGCCAGTAGATAAAAGAGAAAATAATTTTAATTTACTGCTTATACCATACCTGTAACATTATTTGTGAATTTACTAAGTCACTTGATGAAGGTCTTTGACTTTTTTGAAATTGCTGAGGCCACTGTAAGCACGGATTAGCATCATTCAATTGCATTAAGTGACATTAAACTAAAGACTCACAGAAGATAACATCCCAAGCTACATGAAAGTCACTGTCAAGAAAATTCCTCCAGATCAAATACAAGCCTTTTCAAAAAACTTTATCATTTTGCACACTTACTAGTTGGTGACTTTATCAATTCCTACTAGCTACCATGGATTTGTATTTGTGTCCAGTCTACACGACCATTTACTACAGAGTTGTGGAGTTACATTTTTTACAATTCTGCTTAGCCTTTCACCAGTAATGAATGGCAGTTTAGCAAATGGTTCGAACCTTCTAGAATTACAAAAGGTTTGTGCCTTTATTTTCTCTTTTACCTAACAAATAATAGTAGCAATAGTTTCTCTAGCTGTCAGGACTGCCTCTAGACACCTATATTCAATTCACTTAAGAATGATTTATGCCCAGTAATTTTATTTACAAAACTTGAGGAAAACCTTATTAAGGGCTAATAATTCTTTTAGGAAGCATGGGAAATTAACATTTTTCTTTGTCTCAGATATGTATGGTAAAAATGTTTCTTACCTGATACAGGTACACCAAGTGGAGCTAGCTGTATCCGTTGTCCAGCTGATCCAACTTCTTTTTTATGAAAGGAAGTGATGTTGTAAGCAGCACCACTTACAAAGCCAGGATTTCCTGCTGACATTACAGAGTTTTAGTATTTTTAGTTGCATTCAGAAAACCTTGCCTACTTTTTGAGTCACTTCAAAATACATTTGCAGTACCACAAGAGTACTAAGTTCTTTAAAAACTCCCTAGTGTTTGTCTGTTGAAAAAAAAAAAAAGTATACATTCATTCTTTGCTTGTATATTAATTGGACCCTTTACAGCATTTAACATGCTCACTAAGTTGCTGATCCAGTACATCTGATCTGCAATTCAGCAAGAAAAAAGACAACAGAGCGGGATGAACATTTCATAAGTACTTTCATTAAACTTAAGACAACATAGAAAGGTTTACACTGAATTTTAGAGATAGGTAGGATCTTACCTTTTACTTTTTTTACTTTACCTTTTGATTTACTGGAAGCTGATTTAAGCACTTCAGTATTTGGAAACTAGCGCTCAACACTCTTGTGCTTAAAATGTTTGGTGTAAATCTATCTAAAATAATGGAATCAAACTTCTCTTGTGGGTAGTGGGTGTACCACATGAAGTCGACTGCTGGTCACACAGTTAAAGGCCTGCTATAAAAGTCAGACCCAATTACTCTCTTTCTTTAACCCCAGTTATAATTCTGTTGAGCCTAGTTTTGGTCCAGATCTTTCTTTAAAGCAGTGCCACCTTCAGAAGGCTGACATAACCACCCTCATTTGGAAGCTGAGAAACAGTGTATGTTTACACACACAATTAGTACTGAAATTATTGTCCAGTGGCAGTGGGATCTGTTACAATACTTACACTCTCTGCTCCAAGAAAATGTCTTACCTTCTTCATGTGTCATCACTTGGGACAGTGTTAAGACTGTGCTGGCACAACGTCCAGAGAGAAATGCTTTTCTTTAGTGCTGTGGTTCTTTATTCAGCAGTATTAAATTTGTGAACTACAAGGCCATGCACAGTAATTTTAAATTGATCTTTATCAAGTGTGCGCATTTTTATGGTATTAATATTCAGCATGGTTCCAGTGGTAGTTGCAGTAAAACACACAGTATCTGATTTGACAGTTTTTCTGTCTCCTAAACTCCAGCCTCAGTGCAATCCCAAAACGGTCCTCTTCACACAAGTACTCCCACCCCTCTGTGCTAATTTCAGAGCTCAGAGCAGTGGATCTATAAAGTTGCAAAACTGGTCATCTGCAAACCCAAAAAGGTATCCTCAGGTAATTACAGCTGCGTTGGGTCACTGCATACCTCCCTGTTCAGGAGCACTAACAAAAAGCATTCAGCTAACTCAGTTTTGCCAGTCACCCTAAACTGTCACTTCTATGAGTTCTGTAAATAGTTAGGTCTCCATGTGGCTTCCCTGTGTCTAGTTGATGCCAGTCTCCATCACAGTAAAGAATGACACAAAAGTCCTGGTGAAAATTACAACTTTATTGAAGTATTATAATAAAATTTAACTTTCTTGTAGTCTTTAAGTTGTTCTTCTTTTTCAGGAATTTGCCTGAAAAACAAAACAACAGTTTTAGTGGTTTGTTCATCTGCCTGTGCACACACATATTCTGTTATTCCCCCAGTTCTAAATTATTTCACTAGGAGTGGTTCATAGCTCTGACAGCTCAGTAGCATTCCTTAAAATTCTGAGGTCTGAAAATAAGAGTATGACAGGCCTCAATTAATATAACCTCAGAAAGACAACTGGCTGCTTCTTACCTACAGCTCATCAAAGCTGCCTATTTGTCAAAAATTGCTCAACCATTTTTTTGTTCTTCTTACCTGGCAATGTCCAATGATGTGCTTTATGAATCCTCCTGCAGGAAATGAGAGTGCAGCCAGGAGGAACAGTCTGGGTGAAACCAAGGTCTGGAGGCGTGATCTTTTGTTGGATGAGAACAAGGGAAGGAGAAAAAAAGTTCAATATAAAATAACAGAATAATTACAAATATAAAAAAACCCTATTGAAAAGCACAGTTCCTTACCTTTGACCACTGCTGTAGAAAAGAAGGGGTTCTTGCTATAGAAGTATTGATCCATCAGGCATCCAGGAGGTCTGGCAGCAGGTATACAGGCAAGCACTCATGGCCACGATGTCAGCAAGCGTAAGCATGGCTCAGGCCATACCCCCTACCTCAAACAATACATACTTCATCAAGGATAAAGTCATTGAATCGTTTGAGCTGGGTCGTGAGTTCAAATAGTTGCAATGAGATGTATCACATAGGCAGTACACACCAGAGGGGCCAGAAACTGGGCAAGAGGTGAAACAGTCCAGCAGCTTTACAATGCTCCAATCAAACTGTGTTTAGACACAAACTAGGCTGCTTGGAAACCTGTTTCCACCCTCTTACACTACAGTAATTCCACCAAAATCTATGCAATCTCAGTGCTGTAAAATCAGCGTAACAGATAGAGAATCAGAACACAGTCAATGGTGCAAGTCCCAGGTGCTGTTATGAAGAAGCAGTCCTTCAGGAGAGGTGCATATGCTACTTCTTTAGGATCTCTTCTTCACTATTATCCAGCAACAGTGCAGTGACATGCTGTGAATTATAATTATGTTAATAAAATACTCTCTTTTAAAGCACAGTAAGTTCCAAAAGTCCAGAAGAAGTCACAATGAAGACAGGAAGGCTTGACGAAACAGATTACAACTGAAAATGAAGTATAGTATCATCTGGAAACTGCATTGTAACTGCAATTTTTACAAGAAAATGTAAAACATAAATAGGCAATGTGCAAAGAACCAGGCTATAATTACTATAAATTACCTTTTGGATCCTCTAACTTTTCATTCAACCTTTCTTTGCATGATAGCTTTTCAATAGGTATAATTAAGTTCTCATCTGTAGACAAGGAAAAGGAAAGGAAGAAAAAGATGGAAAGACAGAACTTTAGAAAAAGTGTATGAAGAACCTGGCTAGGTGATGTAAAAGAAATGAGGGAAAACAAAGCAAGAAAGAATAAAGTTCTGACATATTTGTATCTATAATGGTGCATTGCTATGTTTTCTGAAGCAGGAAATGTTACTCTAACAAGTTACTTTACAAGGTCCTTTCTAATAATGGAATAAATATGTGATTAACCATCAATGCAATCACATTCCAGTCATACAAATACATAAATTACAAGTTTAAGCACTCAGGTGTATGTGCAAAGTTGACTGAACATAACCTCACAATTCTTTATAAATAATGCATTTGTAACTATTTGCTCTTATCTTATTTCACCACACGGCAATATTGTGGATGACAGAGGAGGAAAAAAAGCACTTAAATAAACATAGTTATTTAAACCGTAAACAGCACAGTGTCAACTTTCAATTTTGTCAATATGAAAAAAATAAAAACCATACATAATTTACATGTGTTGTATTTCTGTGATTGGTGTGCCAGCTATCCTAGTTTCATGTGTGTCTGTCTTAAATGTTGTTGCCTCCCCAGTATGTGAAACATCATATGCAATTTAAGATACTGATGGAAATAATACCAAGTATTTTTGAACTTACAAAATAATGTTTTACTTTCTTTTTCTTTAAACTTTTGGTAGATATCCAAAGTAAGCCAGTACGACAAAGGACTGATTTTTAGCATTAGCATTCATCTTAATTTTCAGTGCAATTCAGTAGGTAGATGTCGAGCTTATTAATGCATACTTTTGGAAACAGCTCTTTGCCTTTTTGTGCCTAATTCCCTTGCAAGACTATTTTATGAATATATTAATTAATTCTGAGGCACCCAGGTACTGTATTTTGTAAAACAAAAAAGTACATATGACTGCTTTAAAAAGTACATATGACTGCTTTAAAAAGTCTGTTCTGTTCCATCAAAATTCTAGTAGGTGTTGTTATTTTAACACTTCCTAAAATCTTTCACATAATTTCAGATGGACCTGAAACTTACACCTCCCCTGACTTTCAGTGGGAAAATCAGGTTTGTTGACACTACAAATGCCTAGTAAAGTTCTATTAAAAAAAGGTGTGGCATCTGTATGTCAACAAACTTGAAACTCTGTACGAGTGAGGCTAGGTGGTTTATTGGCATTAAAGTATTTGGGAGTGACTCATGCTTGCTGGACAGTGGCTGCAAAGTTGGTAACAAGGTACCTCCCATACCGGTGTGATGGGAAGTATAGGGCTTGGCAGTTAGAAAATCGATTTTAGTCTTGAGTCTGATGCTTTCCTCAGTGAAATCTTAAATAAGCCATTTAACTAGTCTTAGTCTTAGTCTAAATGCTGGTAATAATGTTCTTCACAAAACACAGTAGCAAAAGGCATTCTACTGCAAGTTCCTTGCTGAAAATAAGGGAACTTTTCATGCAGCAACGTATTCAGGACAAGGCTAGTAGATTGTTAAAAGACATGTTTAGAATATTAGGCTTTTATTACATGTGCACACCACCCACCATCTTGTTTTCATATGTGAGACTGCTGTTTGACAGTGTTCCACAGCACACTGACCAGGCAGTAATGAGGTCAAACTATTTGCTTAAATTAACACTACAGTAAATAATGGTCTAAGAGGATTATGGACAAAATTTATCTTGACAGAACTTTATTAATAGTGGCTGGTCTATACTTCCTTTATACTCTGAAAGCAAAATACATAGCTTGTATATGAAGAAGCTGTTTATTTTAAGAGTCTGTTGTTAAAGCAAAAAAAAAAAAAAAAAGCATAGAGGCTAAGCCTGATAACAGAAGTTAAACCAGATGGTCTTCACTAAATTAGTTAAATAAAGTATGATGAGATATAATGTGACCCCTTTTAATTACACTTTTACCTGTAGTATTTCTGTTGAAAGTCACTCCTCCTCCAGTATGTGCCAGTGGTTTAGAAAACAAGGGGTTGTTCCAGGTTCCACGTGATCCTTCTTTATTGACTGCTACTAAAGACACATTCTTAGGGTTTACACCTTAGAAAACAAATTATGGAAATTGCTATAAATATCAGTTTTCAAACATAATTCAAACAATGAAAAATGGACATTTCTAGAACAGTAAAACAACACTGAATTACTTATGGTATAATGTAAACACCATTAATGAAAAACAACGATGTCCATTGATTAGGTTAGATTTTTCAGCCAAACCATGAAAACTGGAGACACTGATTTAAGAACAGTTCTCTTCATGCTTTCAAGAGAACTTTTAAAAGCCTTTTTAGTACAGTTACTTGGTTTCTATAAAACCATAATCTCATTATTGATATTTTTGACTCTCGAACAGTTAATACAAATTACAAATACCTAACAAACACTAGGGTTCTGCGGGCTGAAAATAAACCGTTTCTTCAAGGGATAAGTTAAAAAGTAGGACAAAGAGGCTCTTGGTACTTCAGCATGTTATGAGCATTACAAGAGTTAATGGGATTACACAGCATGAAAGTAGCTCCCAGATCTAGTGGTAACAGAACTAAAGCAATAGGGATAAATTGCAAATATGCTCCTTGGAGCTATTATTCTCTTAAGTGCTGAAATTAAATATGTATTTATGAATTGAAAACTCTACTAAAATCAGAGAGGCATCACAAGCATGCTTAAAAAAAAGGTAAGAAAATACAGATGAACTTTCTGTTTGTGTTACATTTAGACTGGGAAGCTTCCACTCTTTTTATTTTTTTTTTTCTTTTGGACTTAAACTGTTGAGTGTCTGGGCTACCTATTTAACAGGCAGTAGGTGATTTCATATTCAGAAGTCATCACTGGCCTAATGAATTCCTGGGAAATTAGTGATACATTGTAACAATGCTACTTGCCTGACAAACAGGAATTCATCTGTGAGCCACCTAGAGTCTCACATGTGGATTACAGGAGAAGTCATGACTAATTGTGCAAACCATCATGGTTATAAAGATACTGAGACACCAAGAAAATTGTCTGATTATAGAACATATTCAGAATACTGATGGAAACATTGTTTTTTCTTTCTTCTCCTTCCTGTTCTTATTCCTAGCAATTATGGTATTACATGTTATTTTCCTGATAAAATCACATATTTAGACTAAGCTATTTGTTTTCAAGGAGGATGACTGCCTTGGGAAGGGAAATGTGTGAATTCCTACTATTGTGGAGTGGCTGATACTTCGAACACCTCCTACTGAGAAGGGTAACTGTGCTTATCAGAACTTTAAGTTAAAAAACCCCCAAACCTTCTGACACTGAAAACCAGAACTGTGCACTATATATAGGGTATATATATGGGTAGTTTCCTTAGTGCTCAGATAGATACACTTGCTTACAGGTCGATTAGGATATATTCCTAGGAATCCAAGAGATGTTAGATTCATATTACTGAGGGTTTTATGAACATAAGAGGGCCTGTGAACTTCTGTGGTGTGCAAGCAGTGTTGAGCTCCCTTCCACCTTTACATAACCAGGAATTTCCACGTCAGATGTGATATGTTCTGGAAAAGACATTTAGTCCAAAACTTGAAAATTTAGCCTGGCTATGAAAAGCAAAATTATCCAGTGAAACCAAAAGTTAAATGTACTTTATGTAGATTGTTGACAGCTTGCATTTTCTATATGTATTGACTTTTACCCTTACCAGGTAGATATCTTGATTGTCTTAGATAGTACTGTTTTGCTGATGCATTTGATCTTCCAGAATCATTTCTCATCGGAGCCTTATTTTCCCCTCCTGTCTGGATACAGCATGAAGCTTTTGGTTCTGGCACACTGAAAAATCAAAATGTTCAAACAATGTGACCAACAACTCCAGCTCAGAATACTATAGGCAGACCCTAGCCTTGAGAGTGCAGTGCTCTTCTCTTACCCTACTCTCATCAATATAATTTATTCCCCAAAGTAATGGCCAGATCTCATATACCTCATGAGAGTCTGATCTGGGACTCTGAAGAAGAAAGTATATCCAACACTACAGAATAAGAGCAAACATGGATAACTGTGGCAGAAATGAGTAGCAAATTTAACCAACAAAGGAGATTAAGTTAGTGTATCTGATTTTAGTAAAACACATAGTTTTTTAATAACACGATGAACTCCTAATCCATACAGTGCCTGAAAACAAATTTGATTTAGTTTGGATATTACTGGTGCTATATCGACACCACTCCCTAAGCTGGTCTGCTCATACAGCTCTTTGCATTCTTGCGGAATTTTGGAGACATATTTTAGCAATTTGTCTTAATCAATCTATAAATCTACTGGACACTGTTTACAAAAAAAAAATAATAATCGTGATATTATAATTATAGAACTTACCTAAAAATACCTTCCTTGTTTTTCTTTTCTTTTAACAGTGAAATGCTAGGCTTCTTTGAACATGACATTCCAAATTCAGTGTCATCCAAGTCATCCCAGCTATCCACTGCCTTTACTGAAGTCTGACCCCATCGTCTTCTGCAGCTTTTAGGACCTACTGCACCACTCTGAGGGCCACTAGCTGCTTGTTTCTATTTTAAATAGGAAAAAAAAATCTTAAATTTTATTCAAAAATTTAATATTTTATATCTATTTCACTTCCTGACTACTGCTAAGAACTTTGAGAGAATTTTTCCCATTGTGTTATACCTATTTTGGTCAGTCTCAGAAGGCATTTGAGCACAAAATGTAACAATAATGATGGCAGGTATTTTGAGTATAGCTCTTTTGCACTGTCATCCTTCAATTGCTCAGATCTATCTGAAGCAGTGAAGATAACACTCTATTTGCAAACCCAGTTCAGCACTCAGCCTCTGCTAGTGGTATCTTGCTGAACTCATGCTCTCAACAGTAGCAGATGAACTTTCAAGAAGTAGGGCACAGCGGTGCACAGCATTCATGGCAATCACACTCAGGGTTTAGGAGTGCTCCAGGGTAGATACAGCAAATAAGTTGTCAGGCCTTTCCTTAACATTCTCTTTGAAATAAATTACTAGATTATAAAAGTATCCTTTGACTATATTTTTTTCCCCAGTATTTTCTGAATACCTGTTGTTTTTAACATACTTTATATTGAAGTTCAGTGAGTATAACTGGAAAGCAAAATGATTAGAAACCAAACTTTAATATTAGTCTTTCTAAAAATATTACTTGTTAAATTCTTACAAGCTTAGGAATTGGATGAACTTTCTCAGGTATTTTCCTGCTTGAGGCAGTTGAAGTTCTCCCTTTCCACTTCACTACCATATACTAACAACAATTTTGTGAACTGTTTCTCAAAAGTCAATAAACAGCAGCTGTTGTAACTACATTACTGCATGTTTGTCAGTAAAGGCTATTATAAATGAACATACGCTGTTGTTACAAGCAATCTATTATTCTGGCTTGCTGTATAATTTCCAGTAAGTGGGCAGTTATAGCCTTAATAAGTCATTAATTGTCTATCTGTATTTCCTCTAGTAGAAAGGATGACAGTTTTCAAGGGATTGCCTGGTTGAATACAGGAAGAACTTTTAATAAAACCACCTAAGTATTTATCAAAGATGACTTACTGGCGGCGAGTTTTTATTGATAGTTGGAAAAAATGGTTGTGCCTGTGGCTGCTGCTGTTTTGGTACTTGCTGGTTAGCTGTATTCTGAGGCAACTGAATTTGCTGCAGAGGCTGGTGGTTAACCTTTGACAGGGGCTGTGGCTGTGTGTTCTCAGGTACTCCAGGTGAAGACAGAGGCTCTGGCTTGGATATAGCTTCCAGGTTAGGTAAAGTTGGCTTTGGCTCTGTTGGCTGAATTGATTTTACAGGAGTCTGCTTATCCAGATATTGTGGAGGAGGTCCTAAAATTTGGCCAACTTGAAAGTAAGGGTACTTCAAAGCCTGGAGAAAAAGAACACAGTAATTTTACTTCAAAAAGTTGACTTTGGTAACCTCATCAAGGATCCAAGCATATTTCTGAAGCATTTGAGCAAGGTCTACAGCACAGATGCAAGATGGACACATAATGAGATCATATGTAGTGTGTATTGATAACTGTCAGTTCTGTTTTTTAAAATCTTCCCATCATATAATTTAGTAAGATGGATTGACTTGTACATGTTACAGCAGCCATGTCCTTTCTTTCCCTCCTTTACATCTAGGTTTTGTGGAGTTTGTGTTTTGAGGTGCATTCTATATTCAACACCATCCTATATTAATGCAGTAAAAGATTTCAGTCTTACAACAGGTAGCCTCCACTACTTTCACCATACACTTTATTATGTTTCCACTGGTAGCTGTGTTTTAGCAACTCAATGAATAGCGGTTATTTTTTAATTAAAAAAAAAAAATCAGAATTGTGATGATTAATATTTATGTATGGGTTTTACAATTAGAGGATATTAATGAGCAAAGTTTCTCCTTCATTTTCTTATCACCAGCTTTCCCTGATTTTGTTTTGCTGTGAAGCACACTCACTGTGCTTGCTGTGACTTCACGGTGGTTATTAGGAAACTACAGGGTCTGTCTTCAGGCAGATGTGTATTTCATTTTTTCTCTAACCTTTTTGTGGTCACTGTCAGATGCACAGCATGGACATACCTTATTAACACAGCTCCTCCTATGTCAAAACAACACACTCTGCTACTCTTTCTGGGTAGGATCCTACTCTTTGTTAGCTCTCAAAGAGAAGTTTTGCCTCAGCTGCACTTGAGAATTGCTGCCTTTGTACACATTTCCATGTATATGCACTAAACTCTCCCTTTTGGCTGTGGATTACACAACTGCTGCAGCTGCTTCCTTGACAACTTACTTGGGCAAAAGCTGGTTATTTGCTTTCATGAAGCACCATGCAGTATTCTGTGTAGAGATATATAGCCCCGGACTATCTCAGTGGCTGTAACAATAGATATGCTTTATAAAGCAGAGAGAAATGGCTGCTCTACTTGGTACCATCTGCTTAACCACTTCTGATTCACTTATATTACATCCACCTAAGATAACCTGCAATATGTCCTTTTTCTTTCCCAATTGTATTCCCCTTTTATACTTTCTAAATAGGATTGCATTAGGTATGAATACTAAAAAAAAAAAATCCACCACCAAAAAAACCCCAGTAGAATGTAACCATTTTAGTCCTTGAAATATGTTTTTTTAAATTAACTATGACCTTTGTGACCTATTGATATCTTCTTCACAGAGCTATCACAGTACAGTTTACGTCTCATTTCCAAGTAAAAATAATCCTTTGCTCTTCCATACTGCATTCCATCTGCAACTTCACAAAAAGCAAAGCTTAATTTCAATATCCTCCTTCATACAGATGGGGGAGGAGAGAAGGTGGCAGAAGTGACTTATAGTGACAATTCAGGAAACTTGCAGCGCAGAATTTTCTGTACAGAGAAAATTTTAGAATATTCCAATACAGAAGACAACATTGCAGAAATAACTAAAGAGTTTATGATGTCTGCTGAGACAGGTTTAAGAACTTTCCTCACTACTCAGTCTTGTTCCCATCAGAGTTCAAAATGAGGAGATGTTGCTCTGGCCATCAGTATTATGACAATCAATTGGTTTCTGTATCTACAATTTTTTAACAATTGCAAGAAAATTCAGACGTGTACTTAATCATTCAGGTGCTCAGACCTGACTTGCTGTAGGTCTCTTCTTTGGATTCCAGTTCAGCATATCACTCATAAGCTGTATTGCTTCATTACTTGCATTTGGGATGAGACATTTTAGGCTTATGGGGACACATTGTGGGAAACGGAAATTCATGGCAGAAGCAAGGTGGTATCCTTCTGGCCAGTCGCTCTGTTTCAAAGGAAAGAAAAATGAGTACCAAATAAAAGACAAGGACTATGTATCTTTGAGGTATTAGATCAAATTTAATTTTATGCAGCTTGAGTCATGCTTGGTCTGTGTAGCTCCTTCCTATATAGCAGAAGACAGGCATTCCTGTTTTCCATTACAATTATTACATCACCAGTGAATGCAGCATCAGTCTCCAAGGGCAGTCCTTCTCAAACTCTCCTCTAGGTAAAAGGTGGAACCATCATTGTGGTTACTATACGTGGACATACTCTATCTGAAGGAGAGAGTACAGCAGTACCAGCAGTACTGAACATCCCATCTAACACAGAAATGAGCTCAAACAGCTGACTTCAATGTTCCCTCTTTAGAGGAATAGTAGAGGAGAGGCCCTTCCACCCAGCATACCATGGTTGTGTAACCATGACACAGCCTATACAATATACCACTGATTCCATCATTAAGATAGTCAGTGATTAAATTACAACTGGACACTACTGCAACAGAAAAAAGCCATGACTACCAGATGAACTTTTTTTTTTTTTTTAGCATTTAACTTTCCAATCGCAAACCCTAAGGTCCTTCATTGCTTAATAATGGCATTGTTTCAATACAGAACCATAGGATTATCAAAGAACCACAAGAGATCATCTAGCTCATGCACTTGTCCCTTCCTGACAGGTGTCAGTCTCAAAAAGCTTCCAGTTTCTGGCAGTCCACAACCACTCTAAACAGCCTTATTCTAGAGCTTAATTCTCCTCAAGGTTAGAAAAAGATAGGTTCCTCTTATAACAGTAAAAGACCATTGCTGAGTTTGCTAACATCCATGGACACCAAGAAGGACCATTTCTTTCTTCTTTCTAAAAGAGCTTTTTTATACATTAGAAAGTGTATTTCTTCTCCTGTCTTCCAGTCTTCCTTTGTATAGAAAAGAAAGCCAAATGATTGAATTCCTGGGTCTAGGCTTTTAAAGGTTTTCTTCTTCTCTAGACTCTGAACTTTCTCTCTTGAAAGGCAAAAATATAAACTGGACATAATATAGTGAGTTGAACAGAAAGAATAGTTCATACATCAGCAGACAATACTCCTTTCTCTACACACTGGTATGGTATTTGTCTTTGATGCAATGTTGACATACAATGCACTATTTCTACATCCTCTTCTACAGATGTGTTAGATGGATAGTTATTCTCAAATATTTATGAGGCTGATTATTCCTGCCTAAATACAGCACTCCATGTACTACTAAAGAAAATTTTTTTAAAGCTACATCTCTAATTTTATAAAGAAACTGAATTCTAATCTTATCTTCTAACATACTCAGTCCTCCCCAGCCTGCTATCTATAAACTTAAGGGGTAAAATCTATTCCATCAGAAGGCCTTTAATACAATTTTAAAATTTCATCAGATGCAGAACCACTCAAGAGTCCTTTTCAATCTATCTTTCATTTTGAATATGAACCAGAAAAGCTTACTCTTTGAATAAGGCTTTCAAAACAGATATGCACTGATCATGCAGTTTGTTTATATAAATATACTGATGAGAATGTTGAGGGACAGTGTCAGAAACCTTACTGCAGAAAATGTACGATATTAGTGCTTCTTCTCCTCTAGCAGTGTAACGAGATTTGTGGATAGAGTTAATTGATTTGATAGAATTTGGTTTTAAGATACCATGTTAGCTATTATGTGTCTTATGTGCAACACTTTTAGCTCTGTTAACACAGTCTATGGCAATCAAAGAACTCAAATATAATTATAAACCAAGTCTGGTTAAAGTAAGTCTCAAGACTTCAAGTGACTTCCTATTCCGTCTCAGAGAATAATTTGTTCATTTAAATTAATGGAGATAAACCCTTTCCTCCTCTGCTGCATCTTCCTCCTTTACTGGAGTTGGTGATATTCTGTCTGCCAAAGGTAGTGATAAAGGAACTATTTAGAACAAAGTAGCAAGGGCTGTGTGTTGAACTGGTGAAGTACAGTGATACAGTGAAAATAGTACAAGTGCAAAAATGAAAAATATATTTCAATTTATTGAAAAAAAGAATTTGGAATTATTTAAGGTGCCATTGCCAATCTTCAAGTAATGAAAATGTGTTTCATTAATCTCTCCTTTTCAGATCATCAGCTTTTTCTTTAAATTAGCATACAAGAAGTGTACCATCACTGCCAGTACTTGAATAGTGCTATTTATTTATTTATTAATTAAATAAAGCAACATTTTATAAATAAAGCAAACATCATTCAAAAAGCAAAATAGTTGCCTGTCACTATTTAAAAAAACCCAAACTCACAGATGTCATTAGTTAGGTATTATGGACTAAAACAAAGGTGGGCTAATTGGAATGACGATAGCTTCTGGGAATAATTCCTGCAATTCCTTATTGCAGGATAATGGAATAAATGAAAATGTACTTCTGAAAAGAACAAAAAAAACCTTATTTGTAAAATCATCTTCAAAACCAGACTATTCAAATAACCATTGATGTTTTTTCAGAATGCAGAACAGTACTTCACTTGTAACAAATCCATCATTTGTTGTGATAATTCCTATCATAATATTTAAGCACTTCTTACGCAGTGATCTCCCTGAATAATGCCTTAGCATCATTGTAAGGACATAAAATTCTCAAGTCTGCCCAGCAGATGACAGGGGCACAAAGGAACTAATTACAGCTTCCTGATCCTAGAGGCCCGACTTACAGTGTCTATAACCCTTAGGGTCTTTTAAAGAGGCTACAGTTTTCTCTGAAATACTCAGCTGGTAATGCTCCCTGCTTTCGCCAGCAGTTTGCTAGTCAGGGAATGACAGAATATAAACAGTCATGATTTGCTTCTGTTTCCCTACTTTTAAGGTTAGAGAAAAAACACAGCAGTCAGCTCAGTGCTACTCTGCTACCACACACAGTGAAAATCTCTCTCCGATCTCCCTGCGCTTCCAGAACTATTTATGCTATACACTGAAAATGTTCCAGAAGCTAGTATGTTGCTTTTTCACAGATATTTTTAACATATATCAAAATGTTCTTGCTATCCTAGACTTGTGAGCTGCTTAAGAAACTTAACATCTGTGTTTGAAAACTCAATGCTGTTCATATAACATTTTTTCTGATGCACAATTGTCATAGCAAGCACTGTTTTACACATCATAGCAATTTCCACTTAATCCTCTAGACACAATTTTCACTTCCACAACTGATCATCTATAACTCTTCACCTCTGACCTTTTTACTCTGCTCTCTTATGAGTTTGCACCTGCTTCTCAGTATGCTCTCTTGGATGTTTTCCCACCACTTCAAGCTCTTCATGTTCCTAGCTAAGCTTAATCTATTTCTGTTTTAAGTTTTCTGTTCCTCACTTCTCTATTGATAACAGCTCCTTTACTGGATAAGAATTATGCTATATTTTGTATCAGTAGAACACTAATGAAATTGATGTTTTTCTCTCCCATCCTTCAGTTTTTTAGATCTAGAGACTGTCAACTATTTCTTCAAGTTCTGTTTGCACCCATAAAGTACTGATATACATCTGCCATCTCTTACCTTATTCTCCAAACAATATTCATATGTTTTTGTCAGTTTAATCAAAATTTTCATGGTAAGCTTATTCTTTTCTTGCATATTCATATATCCATTTGCTAAAACAACTTTTTAATTGAAGTAAATATAATTGCATAGATTTTTATACACACTACCCAAACCTTCCTTGTAATTTTAAACATTTAAAGTATTTAGCCCATTCATAAAATAATTGAAAATAATTTTCCTCTCTAAAATACTGCAATTTTTCTTCCATTACTTCTTATTGCTAATAATATTTATGAGATATCTGTGTTTGAGATCAAATGTTTCCTTTATGCTTTAAACATAAGAAAAGCATAATTTGTCTAATTTATGGTATCTTCTAGAAGCTCCAAATTCTGGTTTCCACCCTACAAGAATTACTTTCAAGAAAGGAAAGCAAATTGGCTGTGGCAAAATGAAATCCTAGGAGGCTTCTGATTTTCTTTCCAATATGCAAGAACTAAATTAAACAACTTTATTCATCAGAGGAAAACAAGGCTACATGTAATAGTGTGATATGTAACAGATGCTAATATGCAACAAAAGACTAGCTTTACATGTCTTAAGGGAAGCTCAAAAGAAATACTGTTGAAAAATCCTTAAGTCTGCAGGAAATTTACTAAAACAGTAATTTATATATATGTTCTAAAAGACAGATAATTAATGTTCTACAATAATAATTTTATTTAACTTTTTTTTTTAAGATACAATTGTGTGAGTTTTACTAAATCTTACCTTCTTCGGAGTCCCTAATACCTGGCAAATTTTGAAGATTTCATCTACTTCACTTGTGCCTGGGAAAAGAGGTCTTAATGTGTATAATTCAGCCATTATGCTGCCAACTGCCCACATATCAATAGGCGAGCTATAAATAGATGATCTTAGCAAAACTTCAGGAGCACGGTACCTATCAGGATGGAAAGAAATAATAGATAGATGAAAATGGTAAGACAAAGGTAATTAGTTAAGATAATGTATTAGCTTCTTAATATACTTACCACCTGGTAGAAACATAATCTGTATAAGGTGGCTGAGATCTTAGTTCTCTAGCCAAACCAAAATCTGCTATTTTCACAAGTTCTGGTCCAATACAGAGAAGGTTTTCAGGCTTCATATCTCTATGAAAAAATCCTATAGAAGACCAGACAGAAAAGAATGGCAAATTATCTCATCACTTATTTCAACAGCAACCTCCAATACAGTAATCAAAAATTCACTTTAGGATGTTTTAGAGGAATATAGCTTTTTTGCCTTTTTTTTTTTTTTTATTCAACCTAAAATGATGGTAACTCTCCCCCCAACAAGCAGACACATTCTCCCTCCAGTGATTATTACACCAAGCGTTCTTAAATTAACAAATGTAAACTGTCATTAATACACTAAGGGAAATGAATTGGCTATTGCAGCAATATCGAATAACAAACCAATTTCAGAATGATATCTTTACAAAAACTACAACTGCTTTGTCAGTTTTGGATAATGGAAAATTGAGCATCTGACACTTACTTGATTTGTAAAACTATTTGAATGATTTTTTAACTAGTTCATTCATCATTGTAACAACAATCTGCAGACAGGCATACAGAAGATATCAAAATTCTGCTCAGGAAAGCTAATATTAGTAATGCAGGCACATAAAGTTTCTTTCATACCTGCTGTTGGCTTAAGCACCTACATACCTGGACAGCAGTTAAGTCACTAAGCAAATAAATTGTGCTGTTTAATTGGTACACACAATTTGTTATAATACAAATCACTTAAATTGAAATTCACTTGCTACAATAAAGCATTTGATTTCTGCATGCAAAAACTGACGATCACTATGAGAAATTGCCTGAAATTATGACAATGAAATGTCAATGTTCAAATTTATCATACCCATCATTCCCAAACACTTATGGTAAAAAAAAAAAAGAAAAAAAAAGGATATTGTAACTTAGAAATGTCAGTATTTCTTAAATTCTCATTTTCTCACTTATTCCATGTAGAAATGAAGAAGGAAAAGAAGATGCTAATAATCAGAGAACAGTATGTGATCTTGATCACAAAGATGTGAAATGGCAATTCCTGGGTATTTGATAATACTGAACAGAACTAATTATTTATTTGAATTCATCAACAGGCCTCGCCAGGGTACATGAAAGCCAATCAGGGATCACTGGGAACACTTATTTCATTTTCAGCTAATATTTTATTGTCTTTGGAAAGTTTTAAGGATACCAATGTGATGTGAAGTACAAAATTTAAAAGTTGATCAAGAGAGTAAATTACTACTTTTTTAAAGACAAAGGAGCTGTATTTCAGAAGGCAGTTTGCAGACAGATACTAAACATGAGCATTAAGTTTTGTAAGTGTTGTGAAACTTTTTGTTGTTGTGAGCATACAGCACTTCTTATTTAGACTGTGCTTGTAATTCCTAGAGAAGTCCCATCTCTTCAAATATTTAAATCCAGGCTGTATTTAATAAGAAGACTGACTGAATTTCTTAGTGAAGTTATTTCAATATTTTTTAGATGTAGGGTGTCACATTAGTTACAGTATCTCAAGACAGGAGAAATTGACATCTGTAAAGTATGATGGTCCTTAAATAGGTATTTTTGAGGAAACAAATTCATAGTATAGCACAGCATACAAGTTTCTTTAGTTTGTTTATTCATGTGGTAACTAGGGTGGAAAAAAGTACTGAACAATGTATGAACAATATCCAATGCTTTCAAAAAGAGGAAAATATGATCCTACAAAAACAAAAAGTAACTTCAGGTATGGTTTAAAGACACACCATACTTGAAACAAGTAAGAATAATTTTTATTAGAGATAATTAATAGCTTTTGCTAGATATTTTTATTCATGTTATTACTGTGCATTATCTTATTCTCTAAAAAAGTGCTACACCGTATAAATCTAGTATGAAACCTACCGTGTTTATGGATAAAAGCTAGCCCTTGTAATATCTGATACATCATGTTTCTGATGATTGACTCAGGGAACAACTTGTTTCTGTGAAGAAACAGATTAAAAACTTCACATAATGAAAAAAATGTATTTTCAGAACATTTGTGTTTCGTCATTTTGCACAATACCTCATGAACAGAAGAAAACAGACCCATCAAGTCTTGCGCACAAAGGAGGACAGATGCAACTAGCTCTCATCTCAAAACTTCCTTGCTGCCAAGCCTTAATTTCACTTACTGTAAGTGTTGCAGAAGGACTTCTCTGCAGAGATGTTTATGATCCGATGTAGAAGCTGGCTGGTCAGTAGTGTGCTTGACCAGATGAACATTTTATGCACAGTAATGTAGCAAGGAAGAGACTGCACAGCGCAGTACTGTGGTAGGTGTGGTACCCAGTGGTACCCTTAAGGGAACCCTGGTTGAGAGCAATGCTTCTCAGCTGTAGGGTAACATTGTGCTAATATTTCTAGCAGCCATCTCAGGATGTGAACCTAAGAGCTTTCACATTAGGAGAAAAAGGTGCATGGCAATGTCTGAAGCAAACACACATTAAAGGCAGAAGAATTGAGCAAAGAAAAATGTTATTGAAAAGGATGGTCCTATTCCAAAGTCCACCTTGCAAGCCTTGCTAGGTACTCTTTGTCCAAGACTGCAACCGTCACACAGTTATTCCATATATAGGTCTTCTTTGTGAGCATGCATGCATGTACATGCAGATGACAAACCCCACCTTAAGCCAAATCCATGAGCAAAAGCAGAACAGTGTTTATCCAATCCTTCATACATTAAAGTGAAAGCTAATAAAGAAAAAAAAAAAAGTACTTGGAATTTCTCTCATGGCTCTACACACCAAAGACATGCAAACTATTGTGTTAACAACTGAACAAACTGTTATTTCCAAAAGCATTACAATATGCAACATTGTAACGCAGAGCAATGCAGAATTCTACCCTCAGATAACCGGTGCAGCAACTCCTGTTCACATCAGTGGGGCTGCAAGAAGAGCCAAAACCAGAAATTCCAATGTGTTCTTCAAGATACCATAACATTCATTAAATAAAGCATGATGACACTATTTGTTCTGTGAAAGAGACATACCTGTCCTTCATTAACTGATAGAGATTTTCCTTCATGTATTCAAATACAAAGTAAAGGTGGTCATTTTCTCGTATTACTTCTTTCAATTTAATTACATTGGCATGATTTAGCTTCTTCAGAGACTGTAATAGATCAAAATATGGCTTCAGATAACTCAGTGACTTTGATTCCTTATCAGAACAAAATTTTTAACACATAAAAGTTTCTAGCACAGAATTTTACAAAACATCCATCTGATAGTACATAATTATCTTGTAATCTCTGTTTCAGAGAACAAAATAGAATTTTAAACTAATTTCAAAATAAAGGCAGCAACGATATGAATACTATCTTAAACCTTCTATTTCTAGGTATCACATCATAGCTGGGGTGAAGATTAACATAAAAACCTAATTCCCTACAATGAAAGACAGTTCTGAAGCTGTAACAGCACTTGCTCACAGAACTGAGAGTAAGAAGACCCAGCAATTCTTTTGTTATGAAACTATCAAGAACAAGGATTCTTACAGGTCTTCTTTTGGGAGATACTGATTACATGCAATTTCCAGTAAGTTAAACCTAAATTATACCCAACTCCTTTGTTAGGGAGTTTTGTATATAGAGAAAATCAGATGCCCGAACCATGGCATGACTTGGAATTTAAGTATTTCAAGTGTTACTCTATCATTTGGCTAGCCAAAACTCCCAGTGCTTTCTACAAATGCCCCAAATACAAGGACTGGATATACTCCTAGGAATCTGCTGGTAAAATGAAAGAGCAGGATGGTAAAACACAGAAACACACATACAAAAAAAAATCAGTTTATTTTCTCTCAAAGACAAGAAGATTGGCTGTGAGACACAGCCACTGCTTGAGAACAGTTGGATATTCCACAAAGCAGTAGGAGCTCTAGGAATGACAGCAGCCCATAGTTATGTGGAACCTGTCACCCCCATTAAAAAAGTTCACAGAGTCTGGCCTTATGCTTGGAGATCATAATGCCCTTTTCCTTCACACAAACCTGACAGGACACTTATTTTTAGATGTGGTATGTTCATCAATTTACCTTGACTTCTCTCAAATTCATACATTCATCCCATGAATAGAATTTTCTTTTCATTCTGAAATACAAATACAAGATAAAGTATTTCCAGTACAGAATCCTTTTAGAACAAAAAAAATCTAAACATGCTATTTTCCAAGTGTAGCATTAGCTGTATTTTGAACTCAATTTAAAACATCCTAGAATACCCACCAGCAACATAATTAAAAACAAACGCAACTCTTAGAATTGATAGAAATTTAAGTGTTCAATGATTAATCACTGCAAACATATTTTTAGAAGAGTAGTTAGCCAGAGAGATCATGATAGTCCAAGGTATTTGTAAAAATATCAGGGACACAAAATCCCTTTGTATCATTTGAATTGTGCTCTTAAGAACAAGGAAAACATTAGTGACACTGCACTTAAAGCATGGATATTTCAAACCAGAAAAATCACCTCTTTGTGCTTAAGTTGCACATTCTAGGAAAACCAGAAAATTTTATTTTTGAAATCTGCAATGTATCTTAACATTGTAATTAAGCATCTGTCTTGACCAGTCATTTTTATAAGCCTGTCCCAAGGTATCAAATAAAAATAGTTTCATTTTTTTCTAGCAATACTCATACATACATACAATAAACTAATCGTTATATGTAACAGTGTAATACATATATTTGTAAGTCTTGCATAGATACAAACATGGATAATTGCTGTTGCAGATCTTGGGACAGGGTTGGGAATGTCATGTTATTTACTGTGTTTCTGTAAAGTTCTCGCATCTAGAGTTAAATGAAAACCTTGGGTTTAAATCTTTTAAAATAAATCTATCTTCAACCAAAACTGTCCCCTTCCCCAAATCCCAAACTTAAAAATCACACAAAAGAATTTCAATTCCTGAAATCATGAAAATGAAGAATACTTCCCACAAAATGTTTTTTCTTTTGCCTAAAAATAATTAAAATAATCAATTGCAGATTTTTTTTAAGATTAGATTAATATTAATAATGTAGGTAACAGTACTAGCAGTATATGAAGAAACATGAAATTCTCAGAAATTCTTATAATAAAAGTCAGTCAATGTTACAATTATCTTTCTGCAGTAAATCCATAAATGGAGAAAAAACCTCAGCAACATACTCTCTTGTATTTCAACTTACACTTTACATCCTGTTTGCAGTTCTGTAGGGTAACTTCCCCAGTCCTCTAGCAGAATTTTTGTTGTTTTGTAATAATCTTTTTAAGTAAGTATGACAATGCCAATGATTACACGCAACACAACTCTATTAGATGCAAGGAGACAGCCTTTATTTACCTGACCAGATTGTTACCTGGTATTTATCACTGAAGCAATATCTGATACTTAATGTAGAACCTTAAAAGATCTGGAGGTATGGGAAAGTATTTCAAAGTCTACTCATTAAGATGGGTATTCTTTCTAGTCATATAAATAAACAAACTCCCTAATTAATCAACAGCACATTCAGTTTTGCTTTTCCTTTGGTGTTAGCCTAAAAACATTTTTAGAAGGAAGCATGTTTGAACAAAAGCAGCGTGTAATTTTAAGAGGCCAAGATAAATGAGTAATTTACACAAACTGATGCATCTCTGCTGATCTGTTAACTGAAGTCTGACCCACAATCACCTTGTTAAGCTTCTTATTTAAAAAAAATTTATGTTAATTTCCCTAAAAAGGGACCTTTTTTTTTCCTATTCTACACAGATGGCAGAAACAGTAAAGTTAAAAGTGAAAAGCTTTAAGCTTTTACGAGTACCTTTACTGAATTTAGATGTTACATACCTTTTGATAGCCACAAGTTCTCCTGACTCATTGCTCTTCCCCATCAACACACTGCCATAGGTGCCATCACCTAGTTGTTTCATGATTGTGTAACGGTTCATTTTTTAAGACCCAGAGAGACAAAAGCTCATGAAATTTTAAATGTCTTCTGATTATTGAAGGATTATACGCTCTTTGGTTTTCTTAGAGAAATCTTCCAGACTGTTTTACATTGGTGAATATCTTCTCATAATGGAGCAGGATATTCACTAGTCTCCTCCAAATTACAGCTACTTTGAGATTCCGATTTAAGGTTTAAGAAGACAGAAGAACATGGTCATTCTCAAGCAGATCCTTAAAAAAACACAAATAGGGAAATATGTAATTTTACAGTATTTTGGGAAAGACACACTACTATTTGTATCTAAGTCCTAGATCTGTATATGTTCTTTAAATAGAACACTTCAATATAACTAGTTCCTTTAAATCCTTCAAACCACAGAAGGTGCCTAGTCTAGGATTAGGGTTAGAGTAAGCAGGGACTGGAGGGTCAATATTATTGTCATAATTCCCTAGAACCAGAGAAGTGTGTTTAAGGCTGATGGCCTCTGATGGAACTCCTTATTCTTAATTTGCAGACAGCAAGTTCCTAATCTGTAACAAAGGGAAGGCTGAAGTTTGGGAAAATACAGAATCACCCAAATTTTGAATGGGGTGCTATGGTAAACCTGGGGTCTGAATGCTGTGTTTTGGATTGGTGGTGCAAGCAGGCTCACTATGCTTAATGCTAGTGAGGAAGGGAGGTGAAGAAGCAAGATAAACGCTGCATTCTTCACCAAGGTAAATCGAGTTGTTATAAATGTACTTGGATACCTTGCTCTGCAGTCTACAGAATTCTTACTCTACAGTCACAGGATTAGGCACAGTAGTGGCTGAAGGGTTTGTTGTTCATTTTTACAAGGCCTGTAGAGAGAACTATAGAGCTCACCTGCCCTGGTATGGAAGACTAGACCTGAATTGTTATTTGGAAAAGAATTCACACTTAACAATGTTGAATCTTCATCTTTGAACACACGTAAACGTTAGTTTGAATCCTGATCCAGACATGAATCTGAACCCTAGCTTTTGTTATACACAATACTGTCACCAACACTTCACATGAAGGACAGTTCCCATTGGTCCTACACACAAATCCTAATTCTAAACTTAGCACCAGCTGCCTACTAGATGCAATCCTAAAAACTGATGTTAACATGCTTACTCAAACTCACAGTAGTCATACACTTATTTATGCAGACCTAGGAAAAACTAACTGATCACTATATCATTTACTCACCATAATCCAAATGCTTAAACACAAACAAACCACTGACTGCTAAACAAATTCCAGCATTATCTCTACCTTTTACCTCTGCTTTCTGAAAATGCAAGGCTCAAATCAGTTGGCATCCACTGTCAGCCTACCTCTATAGGAGATGCAGAATTCAGCATGCAATTCTGTAGTCCTTATCCTTACACCAGAATTAGCTACAGGCTCGTAAGGCTGTCCAAACACATTAAGGATCTCAAATTCCACTGATAACAAGACTCAGGCCTGAGATTTACAGGCCTGGCAAAATTCAGCAATAAAACTGGCCTCTTAAGAGTGTGAATGCAGAATTCTCAAGTAGACTGCTGTGTAAAGGAAACATCTGCCTGGACAATGTTTCTAAGCTGTTACTACTCAAAAAGCTGCTTCCTTGGAGAAGTCATAACATGCACCTTGTTACTTACCTGTTGATTCTGTTACTAAGGAGGCATCTTAGATCAGTTGTCAAGATGCCAGTAACAAGTGACCTAGTGGACATCTCAATTTATGATCTTACAAATTATAATTTACAAGCACCAGTTTGGCAGTGAAAAATATACAGAATTTTTTTATCCATCCCCCCCCCAAAGCCATTGTCAGAGTAAAACAAGATCATTGGTTAATAGCATATTCTATAACAAAGCTAAAACCCAGATTTAACAAAAAGTAACAATCATAGACAATTTTAATTATGACTGTATTTTAAATTGGACTTTCATATATTTAAGCCTGTTGTTTTTCTCAGAATTCAGTTTGTATCTTATTCCCCAAAGTGTTTGCATGCATTCTAGTCTTTAACACCTTGAATAATGCCATTTCTTCAAGAATACTATTTGTAGACTCCAGTAACAAGCAGATGATCAAGAGTTTATTCCAAGTTAAGATGCATACTACATACATATCGTGCAAGTTATCAATTGTTAATTTCATATATATTAAAAAAACAACCCAAAACCTTTCTGAAAATATTCTAATAGACATTTTAAAATACAGCACCTGCACCTAAAGCATCACCAATGATAAACTGCATATGCATTTTGTGTATGGGTATACATAGGCATATCACATGAAGTTAAGTGTAACAGGGTGCCTGCATTTCTCTGCTTAAGAGATGGGTTTTGGAGGGTGTTCAGCAATATTTGCCAAAGATAGCTCTAGCCTGAACTCCTAGAGTTAAATATATTAAAAATGTGCAGAACTCACATGTATTTCATGCCCAACCTTTTACTCTCTGAAGTGAACCAAAATACCATGAAGAAAAGCTCTGTATTTGCCATAAACAAACCCAAATCTAGATAGAAACCTTTTGACCTTTAAGTCCTTTAATTTTGGTGCCTAAATGCTATCAGCTTCACAAGTACTTTTGGGGAGTATAAATTAGTCACATGCTTTTACAGTTACCCCTTTTGTCCAATTCTATTATTTCAGCATGTGCACTTGAAACAGCATCACATATAGTGCTTCTTCCCTCCAGAAGTCCTATGTAATGTAACACACCACAGACACAATTGTGCATTTTGTCTGCTCTGTAATATATTTTATTGCCTTATCATCTTCTGCTGTATCCTGTAATTTCTAGGGTATAAAAACACCTAATAAAGTAAAGTACAGAAATGTCAGCACACTCCAATTGTCAGATGGAAGTGTCAAAATTGCTCTATGGAAATGCACAAAACCAGGTATGAAAACTACGTACCCTGACACATTCACCACCACGCTGATGCACACTAGGCCATTCCACTAATAACTCATGAAAGCGTTGGCTTGGTCACTTACAAGGTGGCTATTACAAGGGAACTCTTGTAATGATACATCATCAATGGAAAACTAACAAAATGCAGAGAAAAAACAGGACTGCAGGCATCACCCTTGACTCTAAGCACTTCTCCAACTTTTTAGAGAATTCATCCTTCACACAGAAATATCTAAACAAACTGAGATAATTCTGTGAACAACTAAACAGTTAATTTTATGGCAATGCTATGGCATGCAGCTGTCTGTAAGAAATGCTAGAAGGTGACTGAGGTTTGCTGACCAAGAAGTACAGCACTGGATCCTGCAAGACTCCAACTGCCACCCTCCACTGATATTAGGATAAACGAGGCTGCCAAGAACTTGTGTTTATCAGCCTGGTGTGACATCAGGGACAGGGGCTTTTTTTTTTGCTCCTACTGGAATTACAGAGCACGGTGAGTTAAAATATAAAGGCTTTAGAGATTCACATTCACTACAACTGACATTTGCACACTTCGTACTTTGCACCACATGTATCCAGCTCATGTGTGCAATTTTTTCTCTGTGGTCTCTATTTTTTTCAAACTTGCTGTTCGGTTTTCTCTTTTGCACCAACCTGGAGAAAAGCAAGGGCTCAACCTAGCTCTTCTGGTTAACGCAAGCCTCTGAAGTGGCCTTTTGCATCCTAAAGCTTATATGATATTATTTCATCATTGATATGAAGCTCTAAAATGTAAAATTGTCCTAATAGTCCGTTTCCAAACTGAAAGCGAGCAATCCTATTGTAAACAACAGCTTGTTTTATACTCTTAATGACATACTACTGCCCATAATCTCTTCACATAGGATTAAGAAAGGATTAAACCAGGGGACAAATAGAGGACAAAATACAATATATTGGAAAAAATCTAATAATTTGTGTAAATGTAGAGAATCTGAACAAGTACTAAGCAATTTAAGCAAATTTTCACTTTTATGATATTAGTGGTGTTTTATTTTAAGCACTAGCAACAAGTTTAAATTACTTTAGATGTCTGAAGTACATTTAAAAATGTAATGAATAACAGCAAACCATCTGTATTTCTGCTGTACAAGTATTATACATTACCAAAAAATTTATGTTTGCATGCTAAACAGTCTCAGAATACAAACTAAGATAATGACCCAATAAAGACTTCCCACACAGATAAGTAAAACACAACCCAATTTCACCAACCTGCTCACAGTAACTGCTGAAATCACCAAAACCATCTACAAAGCATGGTACTACGCTTAATGATCAAAACTGCCAGTATCACACAGTACTGAATGTGTGCCAATACAAATTTTAAAAGTTAAAAAAAAACAACCGCAAACCAATAAAGGAATTGCTACTACAAGAACCTTCTTTGTAGTGAACTAAAGCTGATAGTAATCAGATCCCATGACAGGTGGATCAATTTCTTGAGATTAACTTCAAACACATTACTCTAATCAAAGACCAGCAGTTATTTAAAAGCATGACTCAGCTGCAAGGAAGAAGTTAATAACATCAATGATAAATATTTGTACTTTCAAATATACTGTCTTAAATATTATTTTTTAAAAAGTCTCTTCAAACATCTAATAATGTTGTTTCACTTATTTGTATCAAGCATTCAGGATAGGGCATATCAAAAATCAGAAACTCCAGTTTGCTGGAAGTATTTTCCCTCATTTTATTCCAAACAAGCTTTGGTTTCAAACCAAAGACCAACTTTTTCAGGATGTTTCAGCAGTGACCTGCCTGGATGCTGCTGCTCCGTGCCAGCAAGATTACCTCTTTCCACCACTGTGAAACCTCTTCTAGCAATGCAGTGAGTGGTACAGCGAGTTACAGAACAGCAATGGCTTTGGTGAGACCTTGCCAGACTTTCAAGTCTCCAGCCTTGGGCGGTGTCCAGAAGGAACACAGACTACTCAACTTTCAACTTCTCCACCTCACTGTACATTTCAATACATGCCCATTTTAGTTCCACCTGCTGACATTCAGTGATTTCCCAGCAGTGTGCAGTTACCTCGCTTAATATATGTTCACGGTGGAAATGGGAGCATAAGTCTCCTCTCACTTATTCAGGCTGTGAAACTCAAGACTGCCTGGACTGGAAATTTCACCCAGGTTCCCATAAGTAAAAATTTGCCTCCTCTCATTAACCCTGAACATACAGGCCGTCAAGGCCTGCACCTGCCTCCCTGAAGCCTCAGCAGGCAGGGTGCCCGTCTCCACATGTTCCACTGCCCAACACAGCTTTGGCTCCTGGGCCGGGCACTACAGAGCAGGCCGGCTCCTCATACACGCGAGGAAAGGCCACTCGTGGCCCGGCCCATCGCGGGCCAGCCTGGTCCTTTCCAGGGACCGATAACGGACCCGGGCTGCTCCCGCTCCAGCCTGAACCCGCAGCTCCTTCATCCTGGCGGAACCCTGGAGCTGCTCGGCCCCAAACGGCCACAGCCCCGGCTCCCGGGGGAACACGAACGCCCACTCCCGCTCTCCACCGCCCCCGAGCGCGGCCGCCCACTCACTGCGGTACCGCGG